CTGCAGAACAGTTACGCGAGCCGTGCTCTTTTTAATTAAGTCGAAAGGTATCGCTTATCGCGATCCTTTCATCGTCGACCCGCGTTTTTTCAGAGTGAAAAATCAACGTGAATCTTGAACGACGCGAAATTAAATCGTCATGAAAATATGGTAAGACAAAAGTGTTTTTTAATCATAAGATTATTTTCTCAGATAAATGAATTTAATCGCGATGTAGCAAGATGAAAAAAAAAATATTTTCTTTAATAATACAACAATTAAATATCATCATAGAATTAATGCAATTAGAAGTCAACCTAACCTAACCTAACCTAACTTTTTGTTAGTCTTTCTATTTATTTATATATATATATAAATATATATACATGTATATAAGTATATTTAGAAATATATAAATAAAAAATTTATATTTTGCATTGTTTTTGATGTAAAACATGAAAGTTTTTTTTCTAACCTAACCTAACTTTTTGTTTCTTTCTATTTATTTATATATATAAATATATATACATGTATATAAGTATATAAGTATGTATATAAGTATATTTAGAAATATATAAATAAAAAATTTATATTTTGCATTGTTTTTGATGTAAAACATGAAAGTTTTTTTTTCTAACCTAACCTAACTTTTTGTTTCTTTCTATTTATTTATAAATATATATATATATATATGTATATAAGTATATTTAGAAATATATAAATAAAAAATTTGTATTTTGCATTGTTTTTGATGTGAAACATGAAAGTTTTTTTTCTTAGATATAATTGAAATGAGATTATTTTTCATACTGCGCATCGAAATATGTTTTTCTCGAGATTAGTCGAGATATTATTTTTTGTAACAGACGTTTATATTAAAAATCGTAAAGTGTGAGAAATCATGTAGGAAGGCGAGGATTTCCAAGAAAATCCATCGTGATCGAGAGCATGGATCCTGCACGGGTCACAAGCTAACATCGTGTGATGGATAGAAAGAAGGACGTTGGCAGGAATTTTGTTCAAACACACTCGGAAACGTGCTTCCACGGCGGCATTGCACGTGTACATGCATTCGTAGGACCGGCTACACCTATGCAAATAGGTAGGAATACATAGTCCGTGATTGGGCTCTTCTGTTCTGCGAAGCCGTGCTGACTCTTTGCAAACAATGTTACCAGGCACGTCGCTGGAACGTAAGTAGCCGTACCCTATACTCTCTGTGGATTTTATCTCTTTCTTGGCGACGACTCTTCGTAATATTCGTGCCACGTTAGCGATTCCTTCCACGAGTGGACAAACTCCTTGCACATGGATCCCCTGTACCGATTGCAAATATCATACCTCGACTCGCTGTAGATACCTATATTGTGACCCTTTCGTATCGTGTTTGTTAGAGATAGCGGATTACATACATCGAGTTTTCAACACTGGCAATTTTTTCCTCAAATATTTTAACGAATTCATTCGAAATTGATTACAAGTTGGATGTTGACACGTGCTACGTGCCACGAATAATTAGTAAGGATAATCAGTTGACTAAAGAAAATTATCTTTGAGTTATAAACAGGATACAAACGCAGTGTGTTTGTTGAGCTGTATTTTTTTTCTATAAAAAAAAAATTAAAATAATATTAATTTATTATATTATTTCATTCTAGAATGTTATTTAATTTAAAAAGAAAATTACAAGGGACTCTAATTATAAATAATAAATCCATGGATTTTTTCGATCTTTCCTCACATCGTATTCCAAATTTCAAACATTATTTTTCTCAATACAAACAAATGATCATATTCGATCGAAAGAAGGATGACACGAAAAAAAAAACTCGAAAGAGTTTCCTCGGTGTCGGTCTCGCTCGAGACTTGACAAATCGATCGTTCAACGCGATATCACGTCTGAAACGGAGTAAGAGAATTGTTGGAAGGAGAAGCCGAAGGCGAATGTGCACGGTCGAGTGAAATAATTTCCTGGTGTCCTCTACAGGCCACGAAAGAGGAAGAACGGAAGCGAACTGGTCTTTCACAAAGTTTCTTGGACACTCGAAGAAGCTTCTACTGTGAGAAACTGGCTGGATAATGGTCCCCGGGGTTTAGACGAAGGAGAGACCAAGTGATCCTTCGGGGATAAAGGGAGTACCGCGCGCGTACACACAAAAGAGACGTTCTTCCATTCGCGTGTGTACGAGGCACGGTACAAAGCGGTATCATACGGAACGATATTCGAGGAGTCCTGTTGGAAAGACCAAATCTACGTCGTCTTCTCCTTTTCAGAGTATAATCACCACTTGCCCGCTTTATGGACGTGTACACTTATCTCTATCTAATGTCGACTTTTGGATACGGAATAAGTATCGATTTGTGAAATATAAATATTCAGATTTATGTATATGTATGAGTATATTTTCAATTGAAAATATTAAGAATTTGCCTGAATTTCTTTACTAATTTAATAATTAAAATTAGTTAATGAATGAATTAAGAACTTACAAGTTATAGATTATAAATTTTTTCGTATACTTTTATTTACACGTTTATGTCAAATAAAATGATGATATTTGGAATTTGTTTTATTTTCTTTTAAAATCATATTTATTGTGATCGAAATTATATAAGTAGAAATTAACAACAGACAAGCTTATCTAACACCAAATTTCTGTATAAATTCAATTAAATAACAACAAATACGATCAAATTAATAAAGAAAACTCTTATATTTAATTATTATCCTATAAGAAAAATCATCAATTCAAAGATTAAAAGATAATTGTTAATCACGATCATCAATTTATTAATAATCCTAGAACACACAGTGTCGGAGAATCTGGTCTAAAATATGTACAATACCGTATCATCATCGAGACCCTCTCGAAAACCGATGAGGAAGAGAGCGAGAGTGCATGAACCCTCTCCTGGCAACTTCAGAATCTTCGACCTAGCAAGAATACAGGAAACCATCGAACCAACCAACAAACCAACCAGCCAACCAGTCGTGAATCCCCCAGCGGTGGTAGGCACTGGCCCGAGAAATTCAATTACGGCTAAACTTCTCGACTGAAGACGCGTCTCGTCTATACACACTACTGTAAGCACTCTGTTTCGAAGATCGAACCGGGAGGAGACATCTCTCTGTGTATTATATATTTGCGACCCTTCTCCATCTTTCATAGGGAAATGAGAAACTAATTCCTCTGTGTCGGTCACGCGAATCACTGAGATATAACTTAAGCGAAGTTTCCGTCATCATGGCTACCTTTTCAGAAAAGTCGAGAAAGGAAAAATTGGAGGGTCGAAGAAGAAAAGAAAAACTGTCCGCTTGAATTTTTTGTTTCTTCGATGTAAAGATATTAGACAAGTGATTTTTAATCTTGTTTTTATACAATGATTTTATCATTGTGCAATAACTAATGGCACTAATTTTAAATTAATATAAATATATATATATATTTTCATTTATTTTAGTGATTTTTTATTCAAAAATGTTAGAGATAAGAGATTAGAATTATAAAAGGCTCAAATTTCTATCATTATAAATCATAAATATTTAAAATCCTGTTCACAAATAAAATTAAATATAAAATTCATATGTAAATATTACTATTTTAAATGTTATATATCAAACATCATATAAACAGTTTAGATTAAATTATCTAATTTTAAAATTTATATTACGTATTTGTATGATGAAAATCATCAATAATATTAAATATAAAATATAAAATATGAAGTAAAATTAAATATAATGAAATTAAACATTTAGTGATCTTATAAAGCATCTCCTTTCTCAAAATTAGATTTTATAGAAATGAAGAAACTAATTTTACAAATATCTTGTAATCAATTATCTATCTATTCTAACGATTCCGCAAAACTGCGATACGAGCAGCAAAAATGTGACACGCGACCAAGAAGAGAATGTGCGTAAGAGAGAAGAAGATAGAGCGCATGCGTTTAGTACGCTTGAGTTGCGAACGAGTGCCCATTAGGAACGTGCGTGAACATACGCGACTAAATAGGGCAAGTGGCCAGAGACCATAATGTTAAGTAAATAATGGCCAAACTTCTGGCCCCTTATTATACCACTCAAAGCTTAAGTCTCGTATATACTCGTTAATGGCAGCTTTTTCTTCCTTTTTCTACTCTCACTCTTTCTCCTTTTCTTTTTTCTTTTTTTTTTTTTTTT